TTTAGTAAGAAGAGTTTTTCCATTCAAAGCACTAAGTGTTATGTTTGATGTGGCTTAGTGAAGTACTAGAAATAGAGGGTGAATTTATTTCCTATGTTTTTCTATTCTATTTTATTTGTTTTGTCTACATGTATATATGTCAACACACATTCTAACATAGTCTCTCAAATATATGTGGAGATTTAGTTAAGTCATAAGGTAACTCTGGTCTTTCTCTCTCACACTCATGCTTATGTGGAACATAGGTTTTTATATTTTTATATTAGTTTATCCTTCATCAAGTTATGTCTAGTCTTGGATAATCCTCCTAATGGATTTCATTATTTTCTTCCAAAAATACTATTGATTTCACAAGATCAATAATCCAAACACCTATGTTTGATCTCCATATAGATCTCACATGTAAATCTTGACTCAACATCATTCTGTCTAAGTCAATACATAATTCTCTTCAAAGAACAACACTCTAATGCCAGACAAAGGGGACATAATAGATATCCTTAAAGAAAGCTACACATTAATATTTATAGTTGACTTAAATTAGAACTTTGAGGGCTTAATATCTAGATGATCTTGTAATTTTAAGAGAATTAGGATCATTAATTACTTATTAGGTTATCTAATTTAAAGAATTAGACTTCTCAGCTAAGGTTTAGACCACTAATCTTTCACACGAGGATATCTATCCAATGAATCTCACAAATTCTAAGAGCAAGGATTTAAAAACAATGACCAACTCCATAAAAAATTTAAAAATCAATGCACCTTTACAATGGAGAATTTTTAATATCTTAAAGATTCTTGCTAGTTTGAATTTCACGAGCTTTGTTAGTGATTTTTCAAGGTTCAAATTGAGTGGTTCAGACCAAAGAGTGGACTGGTGCGGTTCGAAGGGAATAGACTTTTTGGGCCAGGAGGTATAAAAGAAATCTAGATGTGAGGTGAAATAATATGATAAAATAATGATGAAAAGGAAAGAAAAGGTGGAGAGAGAAAAGGGGGGCAGAATGAGAGGGCGTCCGCGGGAGAGAGAGAGAGAAAAAATAGAGGGTACATGGCGATGACGAGAGAGAGAAAAAAGAGGGTTCCCGTGCTGATGAGAATCAAGGGTGAATTTTTAAAATACTAAGTAAAAGGCGGAGGGAGAAAAAGGGGTGAAATGAGAACGTCGATGGAAGAGAGAGAAAAAGAGGGTTTCATGAGGGGCTGATGACCGAAAGGTGGAGTGACGACAACGACAGACTGACGACAAGGTGGAAGGTAAGGAATAGGAACGGCGGAGGAGACTGAATGATTCGTGGCAATGGTGACGTTTCTAGGGCTTGTAGCGATGGAAGGGGAGGGCGACAATAGGCGGTGGAAGCAAGGATGGAGGTGGCGGCGGCGGCAGTAGCAAGGGACGGGTGATGAAGAGGCAGAACGGCAATGATAGTAGAAGAGGAAAGAAAGGTGGGCTTGGTGACAGGGCGGATTGTTAGAAGGCAGAATGGTTGTGGCTGAAGTGTGGACAGGCAGATGACGATACGATGGAAGGATGACAAAAGGGGAGAAGAGAAAAAAAAAGAGGTCCCCTTAATCCAAGAGGGCAAGAAGAAAAAGATACCTCTAATCCAAGAGGCGAGTGAAAGAGAAAGAGAACTCCTAATCCAAGAGGCGAAAGAGGGAGAAAGAACGCTTAATTCAAGAGGTGAGAGATAACAAAAATCTTCTTGATTCTAAATTCAACTTCAACTGTTTTTTCAAGTGTTCATATGTTTGAGTATTTATAAGGAAGTGAGGAAGGTAGTTAGAGGTGTCCCCTCCCATAAGATGTCAATCAGTCTCTCTTGGAAGGAGAGGGACCTTCTTAGAGGAGAAGGGGTGTGTGGATGATGTGGCCTCTTCTCCTCCCTCTTCTTCCTCCTCAGGGGTCCACCTAACGAAATGAACCCTCATGTTGACTCTGTAATACTCTCCACATGTAGTTTCTAACTCTCAACACCTCCTGTCTTAGCATAACTCTCTTTTAATTCACCACTAAGGTTACCTTAGGACCTGATGGAGAGAGGTAATCTTCAACTTAGTTGATTGATTCATAGATTACTATAGATGAGTGCATATAATGATGCTTTGATTCTCTCTTTGAGACACATGGTAGCTTTGCTATAGAGGATTGAATAAGATCTTCTTCTCAAGCTTAAGTAAATGATGTGGATGAAAATATCTTCATTCAACATTAACCTTGGTTTGTCTTTAATTCATCATTTTTATACTTCAGCATAACTCTATCATTTGAATATTTGAGAACAATCATATAAGTTTGAATATCTTTATGTTACTCTATTGGTGTACTAATGACCTTTAGTTGTATTACACTACTTATCTTTTCACTCTTGAATTTTTTGGCCATAATATTTCATCTAGAGATACTTAACTAATCAATGACATTTTTCTCTTTTAGTGTGTTGCTAAGAAATTACCTTTTGGCTTGTCTTTAATCAATATATTATAATGACAAATTACCATCTAAAATTTGTGTCTCTGATCTTCAATCATACTTAAGCTAAAATCTTTCTGCTCTCATGTATATCATCTTTAATAATGTATTTGAAAATTCTCAACTAATCAATATACATTTATTTTTTTAAGATCAAGCTTGGATATGATTATTAAGCTAATTATTCTGTCCACAAACTTTGATGGTGTGCTACTATCTAGGGTGTGAGAGATTAATCTTGAGTTTTCTTTGCTTTGAAACTTACAAGTCTTGCACATATGGCCTTCAAAGCTTACTTCTAGAGATTTATGATACTTCAACAGTTGCTTTTACTTTTGAGACTGAGTTGAAGTTAATCATTTTGCTTAATCCTTTTTTTCATATAAAATTATGATGTGTCATCATGTAGGTTATATGACGAAGACTTCTCTACTTCCTTGATAACTTCATGTGAATGGTTAACTCAACCATCATGTAGGACTAGAGATCAAATCTTGCTTCAATGACTAATTGTGTTATTTTACTTATAATGTTTGATCAACTTTCTATGGTGTCACTATGACGATCTCAATTTCAAATTTTACATATGTTTTGGTTTGTATGATATTCAAATATTTTAGTCAATTTTCATATTTGATAGTGTGCTTCTTTGATTTTTCATATGTTTTTCATGCTAACACTTATGTCTTCCATAATATTCATATGCCATGTTCGAATCTTGCAAGTAATTTTATTTTTTAGAAATATAAGTGAAACTTCATTGCATATGTTGACACATGTTGTTCTACACTTCTATTAAGAGAATATTATATTACATTAATGAGACACAAAAAGATATCTCAAAAGTGTAACGCTTTAAATTTGTTATTAGCTATAAGATAGTGTCTAGCATCATCAATATATATATATATATGAATTTTTCTCAATTATATTTTATTTGTGGTGTAAATTATCATAATACATATAAATAATTCAATTCATATTTAATAAATCATTTTTAAAAAAATCACGAATAAATTTTCTAATATAAATGTTGAAAGTTAGAGGATCTACTTAATTAGTGCATGAAGTATGACAATATTTTCTACTTTCAAGATGAATAATAAATTAGAACCTCTAAAATTCAATAAATCAGTATTTTGGTTTCCCAACAGCTTGTAAAAGCCACTTTGTCTTCATCATATGTTGATCTAGCCAACAATAAGGATATTGTATCATGTACTTTATTTTTATCCCTCACATTTTCTTATTGGTAGAAGATAATTTTCCACATTTTTAAGTTTTAGGTCTTATTGCTATACAAAACAGTTTGCTTTCATTCAAATGAGTCCTATTAATCATTGTCGTCCCAATTTTGCTTATAAATTTGTGTCTTCAAACTCAAGCAAAACCTCTCAAACAGTTTTGATATCCATATTGTTACAGCCAATCCTATTTTTCACAACTAAATTGTAGTGAAATCACCCCTTAACTTAAACAATTGATAGTTGTTTATAGTCATTGTTCACAATACTAAAGAAAGCTTATTCCACTTGATTTTAAGAACTAAAAGCCTTGAAATATGCTTGGCAAAGTTACCATGGGACTTGTGATTAAGTAATGTGGGGATAAGAGACATACTCAAGAGAGGTATGATATGAGCAGCATTAAAGGAGCTTTTGGGTGTTAGTACTCCTAGAAAAGACATCTCTAGATGTAGAGGAGTTAAATTTCTCAATAGTCAACTTTTTCTAACCCTTGAAAAATCCTTAATTTTTTAAAATTAGTTGCCCACAACATTTTTCTCACTTATAGATAGATATAGAGGAGTTAAATTTTTCAACTTTTTCTAACCCTTGAAAAACCCTTAATTTCTTAGAATCAGTTGCCCATAAGTTCTTCTCACTTATAGATAGTGAGTGAATGCATAAGTAGACTAAAGTATATTAATAACCATAAACTATAAGCTAGATAGCTTGTGATCAATCATTGACACAACTAAATCTGGTCATTCAGTTGTTTTTCAAATATTATAATTACAAAATCTTAAGAAAATCATGCTATAAAATGGCTAACTCTATTCGCATTAAACAAGATATTTCACTCCATAAATGACATTTTCATATAATTCGCATGCATTGAAACCAGATACAAAAACAATTCCTTCATATCTCTGATCTTGCATCTTCACACACAGGATATACAAATCAATTTATTATTGGCATATTATTTTTGCTTAAAAAAATTAGATGTGAACCTAAGAAAGGAAAATATGAAAAATGACTTTAAAATGAAGGATATTTTCTAGTGAAATAGATTATTCAGATAGGATTAACTCAAAAAGGTAAATTGAGAAGATGTTAACTGTTCAAGTATGAATGAACCTAGCCTATAGCTACACATCTCATTGAACATTTCGAACTAAGTTCAAAGATATCTGCCTCTAGTAATGAAATATTATATAATTGTCATATGTCCCGTGTGTGAAAATGGTAGGACGTTTATTACATGGAATGATTTGTACATAGCTGGACATTACATAAGCTCAAGCCACAGTCAACAAGTACAACACTAATAAAATCAGAGAGCTTTGGATTTTTATAAAGAGAACTTGAGGTTTCCTAATAGAACTAAAAGCATGAGTATTTTTTTGTAAAGGATCATACAAATATAGATTTAAAAATTGTAGGAGATAGGGGTAGAGAAAGAATAGTGACTATTCACTTGATAAAGAATGAAGAATATATTACCAAAACGAAACGCATGCTAGATGTTACAAGATAAGAGAAAACTTATATGAATAATAGATCTATTTTAAGAATGTAGACCTAACATTACATAATGATGATAGGCCAGTGAAGCTTATCTTAAAAGAGATGTTCATACATTACTTGAACTTCTTTAATCCCATATGACATTAAGATGGATGGGGATTGTGAAAGCATGAAGGCTAACGCCAGTACAAAGTAAATATGATTGACCTTACGAACAAGCCGAAATACAGTGTCAATCTTGTTGCACCAATGAACTTGGATCTTATATGGATGAAGCGTTTACTCGATCCATTGAAACAAATGATCCCACAATCGCCTAGTATCAGATGATCTTAGCAGCTGTGGTTCATCCCTTCTTTACTAAAGCGGGATATCATGAATCCATCTTATCGAGAAAGATTCCACTCTCTCGTCAACCAATAGAACGTCTGTCCTCATTCACCGCCTAACCCTTTTCGATTTTGTACGTTAATGGACGAAAAGAGAATTTGACTTCTTATATTACCACTAGACGTTGTGGGCTCAAGTGGGAAAGAAGTAGACGAACATTCTATCACCCTTCGTCGCTTATGTCGCAGTACGGGATACCAGTTGACTTTCTCTTCATCTCACGCTTATGACCTCGCCTCCACGTGGAACCCGAAGCCCTCGTCCATAAGCACTGTCATCACCCACGACTTCAATACCGACGAGTGAATCTCTCCGGCGGATCCATCCACCTGCAGACCGAAACGAAAAGAGGAAACCAGGAGCATGTGGCTCTCTACCGCCGCCTTCATGGTAGGGGTCACCTCATGCTTCTCGGAGCAAGTTGAGAGGCTGGAGCTCTCCAGGTGGAGGAAGGTCAACTTCTCCAAGGCTCTGTATACGGCTGCCGGCATTCCTCCATTCTAGCACACCAACCTTATGTGGAACCTCTTGTCCCCCAGCCCGCACCCTGAGAACTCTAGCATCACCCTCTTGGGGAGAGGATCCATGGCGCCAAGTGTCTCTGGTTCGCGATGATGAAGATGGGAGCAATAGGCTGCTTCGGCCAAGGACTCCAGTCGGGCGATCTCCTCTGTGAGCGTCTTGGCTTCTGCAAACCTTTCACGTACATGATGGCGTCTCCGATAATGGATGCCTTGTCCATCTGTAATACGAAAACAAACACAAGAAGAATAAGAAGAAGAAAACCCAGTCATTACCAAGATGAATTGAGTTCGATTTGTTTCTATTAGCTTGTCATGACTCAAGAACTCTAATTTACTCGTATTTTTTGTAGGAAATTATTGAGAAAATATCGAGTTCAGTGGTTAGGATGTCGATTGTTTCATTTTTAACTATTGCACCAAGTTTTTATACGTAACACGAAACCAGACGAGAAATATTTTGTTTCCACCATCTTGCAATGACCCAAGAACTCCAATTGTTAGTATCTTTTGTTTGAAATATTTGTCGAAATATCGACCACAAGAAATAGGACGTGGAATATTTAAATTTTGACTATTCAGGCGAGTTTTAATTTATAATCAAGACAAGCTTTTCACCTATGACCCACCTCGCGTGCGATTTCTCATAGGCTATACAACTTAAGAGTACAACTAAAAGTTCTGATAATGTTGTGCTGAAAAGTTAAATGAAAAAATAATCCAAAAGGTTATAATTGTTTAAATAGCATATTCTAACTTACCATTAACAATGACCACACAAAAAAACTTTAACAACATCTCCATGCGCAAACCTAATATTAAGTTATATGAGGTGAAAAACAAAAACCTCAACCGAAAGCGGAATAGATTATTCATTGTTCCTTTGTCGACAATATATTCATCCATATTATCATCAAGAGTACTAACTTCAGTTGTTTCTGAAAGGGCTGTCGTGTGAGAAATCCTGAAAGAAGAACAAATGGCAGCAAAAATTGAAAACCGGGGAAGAATATGACGGATAGCGGAGAATGAGAGAAGGGGAGAAGGGGGAGAGAGAGAGAGACCTTGGTAATATTAGGTACCACTGAACGTAGTTCATAGAGCTTCTCCTTCATCCGCCCTCTGTGCCTCTCCGAGACCAAGGTCCGGGCCCGGTCCCTTCCCGGTCTCGCCGTCGTCCCAGAGGAGTTTTCCTCCTCCTGAACGACTCCACCAGACCATGCGTCTCCTGCCACAAGGTTGGGATCTCCATCGAAGCACAACCCCAACACCTGCTCCACTACGGACGAGCACAGATCCTCTCCACCAAACTCCACTAACTCCTCACAGCCGAGAAGGCAATCCAGCTGATAGAACTCACTGGGAGAAGAGTTGCTCCCCATCCGGGACGCCCGTGTCGTAGGGTGGCGCCTCCACGCCGTCCTACTTAAGAGGAGCCCGACCAATGTGAACAGAATAAACACATCCAGGCTCCCGCTGACGTAGACGGCCCCCTCGGCGGAAACTGGGAATCTCATTATATTTCGACGATGACTTGAAGCTTGCCAAAACGGAGATAATTTATGATATGCATAGATAGATATGAGCGGAAATTGTATAATATACATATATATATATATATATTGAGAGAGAGAGAGAGAGAGAGAGAGAGAGAGAGAGAGAGAGAGGAACGCTCTACCTTTGTCTCCCCAATTCTTTATAGATAGATAACTTCTGCGGCATGCTCTCGCCGCGTGGCGGGGAGGGGAGGGCACGTGTGAACCACGAGGGCTTCTCTGGCGTCGCTCGCATTGACATTGCAGGTATATATATACATAGATAATATATATAAATATATCTTCTGGTTTATTTTATCTTCGACCTTCTAGGAGACAGTATTTGCATGTGACCGTATTTAGCGCATGTTCTGTCCAGGCTTCAATGTTATTTATAATCTTATACAACCGCGTTGTAAGATAAATGTTTGGTGGCTACATTGGTTAGACAATGATAAATCATCTTTTCATTAACAAATTATAAACTTCAAAACTCTTATTATTTTCTCATTATTTATTCAGGGATAGATATCGATGGAAGGCCCAAGTTTTTTCAAAAGTATATCGATGAGTAGGAAGATGCATTTTTGCGGAAATAGACATCTTGATGTTGGCTTACATCATACCATTATATCTGTATTTCAACCTACATTGAAATTAACCAGTAATATTTTAAAATCTATTCACAGAATCATTGGGAAGGGGGGGGGGATTGCCATTGTTTCCGCCTGTGGCTACACGGCAATTCATTTCACAGCCCGCCTCCATGCCTTAAAGATTTGTCATCGATTATAACGGCGGGCGAATAATAACGTCACACTCCTAATAGCACCGGATATTATGCGGCACAAGAAGTAAAACTGCTTGATTTCCCGAAACTTTGAAAACGCCAAGATGGATAGTGAGCCCATACTTTGGTGGGGACTTCTTTGAAGAAGCACAGGAAACGCCCTACCTTCACGGCACAGATGCCCTCAAGGGAAAGAAATATTAAAAGAAATGTCAACTTATGACGAAAAAGTTGCGACGTGGAGTTGTCCAGGATACCACCATATTTTAGTCAGTTCCTAACCCTACGAACCCTACGATCGCTATTGACTTGTACTACATTAGTTGATCATTTGACCACCTGATTGACGGCGGCCACAATCTAACAGCTAGACCCGGGCATCCTTCCTCCAAGTCACCGCGTCGCTGGTCGTTTGTCGGTACCTCGTTGACTCCTTCTCCCGTAATGGGATCGTACTCCATCGCCACTGACTGACCCAACCCCAACCCCCGCCCACCCGTTTTGATTCTGATTACTGGAGAAAACAATTGAAGCCGGGGGTAGAAAAAGTGCTGATTCCACATCGACGAGAGAGACCTTGGGGCACGGCAGAGCCGGTGACAGGGTTGTCAGATAATCTATCTCCTCGGCGCCGCAGTCTTCAAACCCTGGAGGAACTCCTCCAAAAGCCGGAATATCAGCGGAAGTTGTACGTGGAAACTCTCCGTGATTTTGTCGCGTACATATATCAACACAAATGCTTGAAATTCAAACTCAGAAAATGGTAGTTTAACTGCATATATATATATATATTATAGTCGTCTAATAATATTGAATAACGAGACGAAAGCTTGATAAAAAACTTCTAACACATCAGTCCCAAAGGCTGTATGTTTTACAAAATAAATTTATATATTAGTGAGATTTGGGTCATCAAATAAGACACGTGATGGGATGGTCGTTAAAAGTCGTTGGTTTGTTTTCGTCGATCTGTCCTTCCTTTACAAGCCATGCCCAAAAAAATGAAGACGACAAAGGGGTCCTCTGGCTGTGATTCAAGAAGTCTAGCCTAAGGTGGCATATTAGGATTCAATCACTCAATTTGCCCAATGTACAATTCGGCTAATGTCTAGATTATGACCACAGTAGTCAATATAATAATTCAATATGATCCCATACACCACAAAGGGATGGCATAGATGGCTCTTCCCTATTATCCATACACTCCGTGAGAAATTATGCAGCCATGATCTGACTTTAGTGACTATGGAGGATAAGAGCGAAGTATTCCACAACGACAGTCATTGTACAAAAGTAAATGAAACGAGGAAAATATTTGAAAAGTATATCATGTATATGTTAGTAAAATTACAATATTTTTGAAACAAAAAATTGTAGCCAAACACATCTCTTCAATCAGCAAACAAATCTGCATGTTTAATAATAGAAGCATCTACGACATGGCTGTTGCTTTAGATATTTAATTATTATTGCGTAAGATACTTTGAATCCAGCGTTCAAGATCAAAAACTAAAATAATTAGTCTCTGATGAACCTTCTAAAATTAATCAATAGTCTTCATAAAGATTGTAAGATCATGAACGCTACAGTAGCATGAAATATGACTCTCTTCCTCTGTGAATCATTGGAAAATAATTCCCGGTGCATGACAATTTAGTCATTATTTAAGTTTGATATATGTCAATGCTCATGATGTTATATCTTCTCTCTCTTCTCAGGTATGTATGAGTTTCCCAATTTCTTCTTAGGACGAGAAGCGGGCGCTGATTTGAAGCCTACACTATGGTGCTCTGAATTATTTAGACAGATTACGAGTCCTGAAAGGCCTATTCGCTAATAACCACATATATGAATGAAAACAACTTCTGGCTTTTAACAATCGCTTCATCTTCATCACATCCGCCTCCGGCTGCAGCTCTGAGCGGGAGAACCGGGACAATGACCAGAAGAGCGACGAGAGGGGGAGGAAAGTGTGTACCACGCCATCTTGGACCACTTTCTCAGAGTCGCCCGTCGATACCGTGACGAGGAAGTCATCACCCCCGCCAAACTTCGCGTCAAGCTGTTCTTCCTTCCTACTGTCAGCCTGCTTCATGCCGGACTATGGATCGCGGTTACCCTGAATAGCTCCTCGGACACCCGTCCAATCTCACGCTTGAGGTTACGCACGGCGAATACAGGCACTGGGCCTCTCCTTGCGCATATTCCCTGAGGCCGTACTGAAGGCAACAACAGCTCTGGGCAGCCGATGTAAGCCTCCAGGGAGATAGCATAAGGAGCTATTTCATCTCCACAAGCTCGCCACCCTTCTCGTCCTCCACTTCATCCGCATGCGGTGGCTGTTTGAAATCAATGATTCAAAGGCCTAGAAATCACAATGTACTTCTACATGTTTGAACCATCAAATTAATACAATTGAAAGTCAATCATTGAACAATACGATCCATGTATGTTATTAAGTTGTTCTTGATTGATAATGAAGTATGGCAGTACTCACAAAAACCTAGAACTGTGAATTTATAAGATAATAGCTCCATGTTAAACTAGAGCCATGAATATGAAGGTAAGTGTTTTTTAAAATATACTTAGATTGGCTGGAGCTTTAGATTGTAAGCTGGAAAAAATACTAAGTTTCAACATTTATATAACTTTCATTTAGTTGAGCCTAAGGACCTAATCTCTATAGCTTTTAGGTTACATGGCCCAAACCGCTATAACTTGTTGGTTCCATAATTTGGGAAGAAAACCAAAAACCCAAGAGTGATTCAAAAATGATCAATTCCACCCCACTCTTGCTTCTTATTGGACCCTCTTTCAAACAAGCAATTATATGTGACCACAAGTTAAAAATCTTGACACTTGCAGTTTCCCCCATTAATAACCTTAAACAAAATTAGTATAAAAAATTCTCCAAAGATAAGAAAGCCACCCACCAATTGGGAAATGACATATTGATCTAGGTTTTCACATATATATCTTACTATGGTACTCATGTTATTGTCACATATGAACATGGCATTAACACATCTATCAACAATACAAATGCTAGTTTCTATCACATTTAAGAATCAACGAAAAAATTAAACTAAAAAAAATTAAGGTACCAATTCACATAGTTAAATCCATGCCTTTGATATTAAATATTCCTTGATTTGAAATCATGATCATCATGCTTAGGGAATTCATTCATTTTTTATAATAAAATTAAATAGTTTAACCTTTTGTCATATAAGCCAACCAAAGTACTAGAGGACCCTTTTGATTATCCATAAATATGAAAAATATGACGACAAATATTAGAAATGCAATGAATTATATTAAAAAAATATAACGACAAATATCATTAAAAATGCAATTAATTATATTTTAATAAAAGATGAGCACACATGATAGTGGATGATAGGCCTTAATGGTAGAAAAGGAAGAAAATGTGTCCATCAAATGCATCAAAATGCATAAGACAACAAAGTGATAAACTGAGCTATCAATTAAGAGGACTAAAATTTTTGTGACTTGGAGAAACCTTAATGACGTGACTCAGTCGTTGTATAGCAAGTCATGTAAATTTTAAATTTAAAAAACTAGAAAATACTAATTTTTGAATATTTAGAAGTTTTTCTAAACAAATATATCAATTATAATTTAATAAAAATTATAAAAATAGTGATAATTTTTCAGGCTGATCACAAAGATGTAATATAATATAGAATAATTATTTAGAATTTTTCTCAAAGAATATATTTTTTTATTAATTTTATACTAGGAAATGAAAGTAAAATATATTTAAAATTCACAAAAAAAGGAAATAAGGGTGTGAACATCAAGATGATGTCAGCACCCAATGAACACGAATCAGGCAAAAATAGAGTTCCACTTAATAATTTTTACATAAACAATTACAGACAATTTAATTGATCAAATTAAGATATGTAAAAGTCGAAAGAATCATAATTAAATGAAATGTAACTTGGTAAATTTAAATCACACAAATTATCACTAAATAAAGTGAAAATTAAGTTGAAAGTAAGAAAATAGAGTTCCAACGTTGTGGCGGCGATGCTTCAACAATGCACCGAAATCTTGAGTATTCAAGAGGATCATCGTGTAGTATCTACAGCCTTGAAGGCTCTCCTTAGACAAGGATGACGTGAACAATCTTCTAGATCTTCTTGTGAAGTCTAGAAATCAATGAAATAAGTCATCGAATCATCTCTAGTAGCTGTCACTTGATAGAGAAGAGTTAGATAGAGGTGGGGTGTGTTAGGGAATTTCATTCTCAGGTCTGCACGACAAAAAGAGGTTCTTCATCGCATCCTATACGTTCTTATGAGGTGGTGACTCATCTCCTAGTAAATTATTCTCTTCTTGACAATGACTTATTTGTTGATCAATCGAAGATGATTTACTTGATAGATTCGTAATCTTTTTATCATAAATCATTCAGCAATTTTAGTAACAATGCTTCATGAATCGTATTGACGAGATTTTTGCCGACGATCTAGCGATTTTGACAACTTAATCTTTCACCGGCGATCTATAAGAAAGTCATGATAATTAGATAAAAATACGAGGTTTTGCTCTGGAAGGATTTGAAGCCACGTCGATTGCTCACCTTCTAAGCCTTTCGAGGAAAGATGTGATGTAGATTTAGTCCCACATCGTTTGTGCGTCAAAGTTTTGGATGAATAAATATTAATATTACATTTCCAAGCAATGAGTCCCTTTCTCCCACATATATGACCACTCTTTACCACACAGCTGACTAGCTAATGGTGATGTGGAAAGGGAGTGGTGCATGTGTGTCCTCATCGGTCTTAGCCACTCAAGTGCATGCTCGTGGCTCCCTTCAATTGTGGTTCCAGCCCACCTACATACTTGACTGGTCAATGAGTCTCCCCTTTGTTTTACTAGATTTTTATTTTTATTTCTTTTTCTTCATTTATCTCAAAAATAGGGCTATAAAAATCATATAAATTCATAAAAAATATATAATTAGCCAAAAATTTATGTTAATCAATTGAAAATCACTTTTCATAATTTAACATAAATATAAATCTATTTATTATGAGTTAAGGCTAAAAATATATTATTTACTAATTATTAACTCATGATAATGAAGACATCACACAAATTGTGGAGATGAACACACATGATAGTAGATGTAGAGGCCTTAATGGTATAAAAGGAAGAAAATGTGTCCATCAAGTGCATCGGAATGCATAAGAAAACAAAGTGATAAACTGAGCTATCAATTAAGAGGACTAAGAGGACTAAAATTTTAGTGACTAGGAGAAACCTTAACATGCTCATTGTACCATATACTCCTTACATTGGTATGTTTGAAATTCCTAGAGGAAACTCTTATACTTGGGTATCTAGGATTAAAAATCTGTAAAGAGTAGCTTCTTGAGAACAAAGGTTGAGCCATTCCTTGTTATAAACAAAAATACCTTTTCTATTTGCTTCTTAATGAATTATCCATTCCATGTTTGACTACTTGTTCATTATTGACTTAATTTTGAACCTATAGTATTCATTAAATTTAAGGATCTATCGAATATCCCCTGCTGTTTAAATGAAGAGACTAAATCCAAAGGAAATATTGGGATAAATAAGTCTGAACCTTTCATTTCTTCATGTTATAATAGAAGATGAAAACCTAATCAGAAAAACGGACTCTCATGCTCAATTCCTATGCCAACCAAGTCCAATCCACTGATGACACCTTATGCTGACATATGGAATCTCTATCTCTATCTCTCTCTCTCTCTCTCTCTCTCTCTCTCTCTCTCTCTCTCTCTCTCTCTCTCTCTCTCTCTCTCTCTCACACACACACACACACACACACACACACACACACACACAAACACTCTCTCCCTCCCCTCTCTTTTCCCCTCCCTCTCACTCCTCTCTCTCTCTTTCCCCCCCTCTCTCTCTCTCTCTCTCTCTCTCTCTCTCTCTATATATATATATATATATATATATATATATCCCTATCCCTCTCTCTCTCTCTCACTCTCTATCTATCTATCTATCTCCCTCTCTGTCTCTCCCTCTCTGTCTCTCCCGCTCTCCCTCTCCCTCTCTCTCTCTCTCTCACCCCTCCCTCTCTCTCTCACCCCTCCCTCTCTCTCTTCCTCTCTCTTTCTCTCCCCTGTCTCCTGCCCCCCTCCTCTCTCTCACCCTACCCTCCCCTCTCTTTCTCTCTCTCTTTCTCTCCCTCCCTCTCCCCCCTCTCTCTCTCTCACCTGTCTAAATATATATATATATATTATCCGTAAGGGACATTTAAGAAGTCACAATCTCGGGTTGACAAATCCAAGATTGCGTTACCATATCACAAACGTACAAATAATGGCGTGTTAGCCTGTCACCAATCTCTAGGACCAGATTTCATCTTCTAGGAACTCATCTTATTAAACCTCTCAGAGACTATTTTCGAAATCATCTTCAAAATTACCTGATGTCAGGTGATAATCACGTCGGCGGTGCATCCCCCTATCCAAGAGAGACCGCCGCCGCCCTCGTCAACCATTAGAAGGTTTACTTCGAGATCATTTATGAATCGACTTGGACAGCCGTTGAGTTATCACAATTGTTGTACATGTTGTGAGCCCAAGTTCGGGAGAAGTACACGAAGAGGCCGTCACTTGCAGCCCGCCGCCCGTGCCTGCCGCAGTACATGGCACCAGTTGACTTTCCCGTCCTCTCACGATCACAAAGTCGCCGCCATGTGGAAACCGAAGCCCTCATCTAGAAGCGCCGTCATCACCCACAGCTTCAACGCCGCCGCGTCCATCTCCCCAGCGCACCCTCCGACCTGAGAACCCAAGCGAAGAGATGAGATAGAGCACCGAAGCAGGCCATCTGTGAGAACCAGGAGCTTGTGGCTTTCTACTGCAACCTTCATAGTGAGGGTCACCTCGTGCGTCCCAGAGATGGTTGAGAAGGTGGAGCTCTCCGGGTGGAGAAAGGTCAACCTCTCCGTGGCTCTATACAAGGCCGTCGCCGTTCCTTCTCCCTTGTGACACACCAGTCTCAGGTGGAACCTCTTATCGCCCAGTTCACACGCCGATAACTCGAGAATATCCCCCTTGGAAAGAGGATCCACGGAGCCCGGTCTACCAGGTTCGTGGCGCTGAAAAGGGAAGCTACACACGTCCTCGGTTTTGGCGGAGGTTTCCAGGCTGGCGATCTCCTCCGCCAGGGTCTTGACCTGCCTCTGCAAATCCCTCACGTACATGATGGCGTCTCCGATGATGGATGCCTTGTCCATCTGTAATACCAAATCAGATAGAAGACTAAGAAGATGAGGACACCCAATTGTCAGCTAGATCAAGCGAGTTTGATATAACCTAAGAATAATTGTAGTCTATTGCCTAGTTTCTATCAGCTTGCCATGACCCAATAACTCCTACTACTTTCATCAAAAATTCTATACGAAAATACTCATTAGAAATATTAGCTACCAGATAAACTAAGTCGAATAAATCGCTTTACCTACTCTGCCAGGTTTTAACCTCCAACCAATATAAGGTTCTCTTCTAAATTTTTTATTAGGGTGCCCCAAGCGAACCGCATATGTAGGCCAAGATTTATGACTACGATCTCTTTTTTCTTGGCAAGAACTGGTTCAAACAGATCTAATACGAAATCGAGAGATTGCTAACCAAGACCTCCCAGAAGAACAGCCCCATTATTCAGAGGTTCTATCATTTAGTGAATTGATATAAACTTATAACCTAAGAGAAAACCCTAATGATAGACTAGATTTATGCTAAGGTTTTGGATGAAGAAACTTGGCAAAATTGGCTCTTTGTTTTCCAACTTAGGGTTCCAACTATGAGAGGACTAAACGCCATCTCATCTCTGTGGGTATGGACAACCTTAAACTCAGACGCGTGAATAGTAAAAACGGGATAAGGCGATATGGGAGAAAGCGTGTTTATTATCCGGACAAATAACCACCATATTCAGAAAAACACTATTGTCAGAGCAATCCAAGAGAGGGGAAGAGGGGGGGGAAAGAGGGAGGAAAAGAGAAGTAGAGGAGGAAACAGGCGAGGAGAGAGACGTAGAGAGAAAGTGCAGAGGGGGAGAGCGGGGCGGGGAGAGTATGAAGGATGGAGAAAGGAGAATAGAAGAAGAGAGAAAAGGGGAAGAGCAACGAGGTAGAGGAGAGGTAACGGGAAGGAAAGAGAGAGAATAATGGAGAAAGAAGGAGAGATAGAGGGAAAGAGAAACGGGGAGGAGGAACGAGGTAGAGGGGAGAGAGAGAGAGAGAGAGAGAGACCTTGGTAATGTTGGGAACCAAGGAGCGCAGCTCATAGAGCTTTTCCTTCATCCGTCCCCTTCGCCTCCTCTCCGAGACCAAGGTCCTGGCCCGGTCTCTTCCCGGCCTCAACCTCTCACCCGTCGTTCCAGAGGAGTCATCCTCCTCGGCATCTGCTTCCACGAGGCCAGGACCTCCATCGGAGTAGAAACCTAGCACCTGCTCCACCACGGAGGAGCACAGATCCTCCTCTCCGAACTCCGCGAATCCCCCGACGAGAAGGCAATCCATCTGATCGAACTGACTGTCGTTGGAGAGGTCGACTGCGGCTAGTTGCACGGCCAGGGAAGGGCTCCTCTCCATCTCCCTCAGAGGTCAATGCGGTGGCGCCGCTGCCGGGTATAAAGTAGGGTGGCGACCCTCCGCGTCTTCCTTATTAATAGACGAGGCAGCCGACTAGTGTAAACAGAATACCGCTAACGTAGACAACGCCGCCGGTGCAACTTGTCTACGGCATCACATGCGACAGTTACCAGATTCTTACCACAGCTCAGATGACTTGTTACAGAGAGATCGAGAGACATAAATGAGAGAACAAGGGATGACTGTCAAAGAGAGCGAGAGAGAGAAAGAGAGACCTGGGGAGTCGTGGAGAGAGAGAGAGAGAGAAATTGATCAGAGAGAACTCTATCCTGACAACACTTACAATCTGCTCTTCTTTATGGCTGGGTTCCCGGCCACGCTTCAACCGCGTGGGCAGCGCGGGTGGGCACGTGAGGCCCACAGGAGACTCTGAGAGTCAACTCGTTGAGTTTTGGTTTATGTATGGTCCTTCTATTTAGTCACCTTCTACGTGATTAACAGTTAACTTGAATTATATGTATGTTTATTTAAATAATAATATATATTCCGATATTTTGACATTTATTAAGATTACGCTGCTTGATATTTAAAATATTTTATTGTCAAGTTCCTGATCATGATAATTTTTTGTGCTACTAAAATTATGCTCTACACACACATCTTAATTATTGACAGTGCACCTATGTTTTCCATTTTACTTCTAGGTCCCCCAAAACGTAGTTCCTTTTATGTTTTTCTCCCTCGGTATAATTCGTTATGATTAACATATAGTTGAATGCAAAAAAAATACCTTCGTCCCTTCCTTTCTTGCATCCAATTGCTCTCCCTGCAGATACAACGATAGAGACAAGGCGGCCTCTAATTTTCAGATGTTGGTGGGCCAACCAACGAGGGAATTCGCAGACAGCTCTCTCTCTCTCTCCCTCTCTCCCTCTCTCTCCTGATGGGGGCATGGACCCAAGAAAGATGTGAGAGAAAAGAAAGGGCACGCGAAGATGCCCTCTTCGTCACCCAACCACCATTGAGAAGAACCCAATCCCGCCGCCATGTTTCCTCTGTCATCTCCGGCGACATAGACGGAGGGGACTAAAAACAGAATATCTGGAAGTCCAATACAAAAACAAGGACTTGTTCACAAATTCAGTAGGTTTTCGGGGGAGCGAGATCGAAATAACTTTGGAGCACAGGCGCCTCCTGGTGAAGTAAGTCACCAAACATTACTCTTCAAAAGGGTTTATCCGCAAGATATGTAATAAAGAGGTGTTATAGAAACAAATACCTTCGTCAATGTACGAGCAGCTGTACTAGCAACCACAGTCAACACATCCAGGTAATTGAATGGTGGAGGGTTGTCAATTCCGACCACTCGTGTCCAGGATGTTGACATGAGGCCCTATTAGTTTATACGTCCAGATAAAAAAATGAATTTTTTGATGAATACGTCATTATCATCTTTATCATTATTGTTTGACTTCCAATCAAGTAGCCGAATTATCAAGATTATGCCCTTTATGCTGATTCCTCTCTCACCATTTTTAAATTATAAATTTATCCAAATTATTCATCTTAAACGGTTACCACCATCTTTTTATTTATTTATTTAAAGTATAAGTTATAGCCTGCCCTCTCTTTCTGATCATTTAGTGGGAAATTGGATGATGCTCACTGGACCAATTTTCACATACAGGTGACTTACCTCTCGCTTGATGGTGCGAGGAAGTCCGTGATTAATCGGCTAGTTAGATAATTGCATATTGCAAATATTAAGACCATGTCACATTCAGTTGCCCACTAGTGCTAACCTACTTGAAAAAGTATTTAATACAGAAAAACCCTACTCTGAACCCACACCAAGTACGTGAAGGAACATGCCAAAAGTAGTATTGTACATGCATACTAACATATATATATATATATATATGATACACATTAATGGCGTCATTTGGTAGATAGCAGATAATCTACACCCGTTTAATTCATTCCGAAATTAGTGACCCACTTAAAAAATTGGTCATGTAATCTAATTGTATGTTTCAACGGGCTAGCTAGAAGAAAAGTAAAAAAACGGCTGCCTCAGAGAGAGAGAGAGAGAGAGAGGAGAGCAGAAGAGAGAGAAGCCAAAACATTGTAATATTCAATAAAGCCGAAATGTGAGACATACTAGAGAAGGGCCACCACGAGTAAGAATTGGCTCCATACTACGAAGTTGGAGGACCAATCAGAGCGCAGATCGGGCCCAGATAACGTATGAGCCAGCCCTATTGGGGTTGCTACAAAGGCTCAAGCCCTGGAAACATTCCTCACAATACATTCGGTAAACAGAGTAGAATTATACGATTTGTGGTGATCTTCAAGGGATGCCAGAGGAGGCTCATTGAGTGACCAAACAGTAACATTTCAAAGCTCGGGTACAAAAGAAGGTTGATAATTGTATAAAAATCTCACACCTCTTCCTCCCTCTTTCTCTCTATACCTCTCTTAGAGGGGGGGCAGATTTTCGGGCTTTTCTCGGCCCGGGCCTGGTCCGTTGACACTTGCAGGTGTGATGGGAGAGAAACTAGAGAGGGTCTTCAAAGAAGATGAGAAGAACTGACATCTTTGAGAAAGAGAAGTGATACAAGATATGAAAACGTTGCAACTAGAACGAATGTGCAAAGAAAACCCACCAAAATTTTATAAAATAAAATAAAACTCAACCAAAAATTAAGAAGATAGCTTTCAGGTGGGATAAAGAAGCTTTTAGAAATCTCCCAATTTCTTTATCATTTCAGGGTTGTACTGCTTCTAGAAGCTTCTCATAAACCTCTCGGGCAGACATGTCCTCAACCTGCAACCCCCCCACCCCCACCCAAAAAAAAAAAAAAAAAAAAACCTTGAGTCAATAAGGTTGTCAAAAAATAATCACTTAAAAGACAGAAATGGCGCAGATTTTCGAGAAAATAATGAGACATAAAAATTCTTGAATAAATCACAGAGATTAAGCCAGCAAAGAGTGTCTCACCACGAGGAGTTTGGATTTACTGTTCCACCCCCTTTGAAGAGTCATCTGATTTAATCTCAAGCCCAGTACCTGCTTCGTTAAGTTCAGTTTATGGGTAGAGAAAGAACTGGGTCTGTGGCGATACTATTTGTAGAAAAAGTTGACCAAAGCCAAAGAGGTAAACTTGACCAAGAGGTTCCTCACCTTTCCCATGAATTCCAGTAGTTCGCTGTTAGCTTCGCCACGAGTAGCAGGGGCTGCCACTGTCACTCTAACATCATCGGCATTCACTCCTGAGCGAATGCAATACATAAATGAGTAGATGAACTAGAGGAACCACTCAAAAAATTTCCTCATTTGTAGATCGAAAGGTATAGTAGATATAGAAAATATGTACAGGAAGAAGAAGAAATGACTGTTGACTCTTTCAGGGGTTCTCTCTTATTGGTCGATTTCCTCGGAAAGATGCATGAGAGTCATCCCACCGACAACAAACGATGCTGATTCAGTTAGCTTCAGATATCATTGAATAAGCCGCCTATAGATGATGATGTATACGCAGCAAGGACTCAAAAACGAAATATGATTTTTCAGAAGAGGGAGATGGTTTTTCAGAAGAATTTGCTGAAGTTAGTGGAGTTAGCTATAAATTGTATGTACTTGTTGATTTTATTCTACTTCGATCATTATTTAATTCATGATTTCAGGCCACTACTTATCTCAATATGCAAAGCGATCCCAAGATGGTGAATGGAACAGAGAGTGTGATACAATACATTCAATGTCATCAATCTTGGAACATTAGAGACATTATTCACAGAAAACATATAAATATTTGTATCAAGAATGATAACAGATTAAAAAATATCATTATTGGTGTTACATGAATAGCGGAATCGATACTTTTATTATGATAACTCACAAGTAGTTTCAAGAAATTGATGGCATTACTTCGAAGTGTTCTATGTAAAAATAATCAGCTCCATAAAACTAATGGCTATTACCTCTAAAGAATGCTGTAAAATAATTAGTCAGGCAGCAAGATTACTTGTAATTGCAGAGCGGTGTGCTCTGTCTTCCACCTCAATTGCCACCTGGACAAGACCACCGTCTAACTGAGATATGCACGGAGGCACAGGGGCATCCTACAACAATGACAAACTAGTAGTTGGCGGTAGGTTCGAAGTATACATCCACAGGATCGCATTTAAAGTATATGAGGGAACAGGGATCTCAGACTCAATGAAAAGAAACGAGAAACGGCATGGATGTACTGGCGCCTCATTTCTCAATGAAGAAACCTTGTGAGCATGATGTATATGTAATATCTAGTTAACTTGACCACAAACTAATTAAAAGATTTTTATTGCACTTTTCTGCATGAATTTTAAATCATTAAATAAAATAAAATTCCAAAAACTGAACAATACTGGACTGCATCATAGAGAAAGCTTTATATAAGAACTAGTATGAGCATAAAAGACTCCGGGAGATATGTAGAAAGAGTTCTACAATCTTTCTGCAAACTGGTAATAAATAAAACCATTTTATCAAAATTGTCGTTCCAACATAGGCGTTCAGCAGATGAGAATAATCTAAATTTTATATCAGCCAAAAGGTGTAGAAAGGCAAATATGTAGCAATATGTAGCAATATGTGGAGGGACAATATATCATGTCTCAGGCAAGCGGTTTCCTGACAATAAACACTGAAAAAAATGTAATACATGAAATAATCGGAAAGAATTATCAAAAAGAAAAAATTTCGATGAAAATAATGACTGTTCAGATGCCTTTTCTTTCTCCAGCAGAGAATTTATTGGCCAGGGGAGTCTCGAAGCTCTAACTGAGGCGGATCTGTTAAAGACCAAGGAAAACATGAATGCCATAGTGTATGACTCTGGTCAGGCAACCATTAGAATTAATGGGCTCCAGGATTGCTAAGAAAAGCATATTCTCAAATGATCATAACAAAGATCTTCCATGCGCACAAAAAAAAAGCGTCTTTTACACCTAGTTGTTACTATTACTAACCACGCCGTGAAGAGATCCGCCAAAGTTGGTGTTCCAAAGCATGAATCTACTCGGAAGACTAAAATTTAGACCAGCGCGTGCTGAAACTTGACAGTCATAATCCCAATTTTACTTCAAAACGTTTTATATGCAGCAAAATACTCAATCAAAGATTATCAAGCAATGTGAGCATTGATAGAAAGCCATCACAGGAAGAGAGAATAACATAGCATCATCATAAAGAACAAGCAAAAGAAGTGACAAGAATAGAAATAGGAAACTAGTTCCTAGCAGAGATACCTGAGGGTTTGTTTCTGCTGCAATTGAGCTCAGCGCACCATCAATAACATAGATAAAGGGAGCAGCTTCTGGATCCTCTTCTGATCTGTAACAAACAAAAAGCTCGCACCCCACACATTTCATACGGAACTGTCTTTCAAGCTTCCCTTCGCCACTGGATGCAAAAAGCCAACAGTCATACATATAACCTCAATAATGACAATTAATATCCAGAGAAGAATCATAATGTCAAATGCGTATGATACTCATCATGAATTTTTTTTCATTCGAAGACTGGAAATGCCTTGGGAAAAAAAGGAAAGAAAAGGAAAATCAAGAAAGAGTTGACTTTATCGATCGATAAAAATGATGCTAAAATATGAAAACTAGGAAGTAGTTTATATGTACGACAGAGATGCTTTAGTAACTCAAGCAGAATAAAAAAATTGTTTCCTTCTGAAATAAATTCAGAAGAAATATACAGATTAAGATAAAAGCACTACCCGAAAATCTAAAAATCAGATTCTTCTAGTCCGCTGATACCAATGCCGATTATCTATTTTTCTATCATCTATTTTTAAGGCACTCAACAATGTGAGTCAATTCGTCCGTAACGTTGTGTCTGCATAATGACTCAGACGAGTTAACACAGATAAGGAGGTATCTCTCTCACATTCAACTAATCAATAAAACATGCAGAATAAATGATCAACTCGCATCATGAAAGCAGTCTGAATACCGTCTAAGAACAACTTTTCCTGCTTCTTTAATATTCAATCTTGCTAGATGCCTCTTCTTGTCCAGAACATATGCATTGTCTGTCTTCCTCCTTGGCATTTTCTGTAACTGCATATCTTCAAAGAGAATGCTTGGTCACTTAGTGTATTCATCAAACATCATTTGTTTATAATTCCCATTTGAGAAAGCAGCAGACGTAGATAACAAACAAAATTTTCCAGTATAAATCATGTGGGAGGCACCTAACATGGAAATGTAGATCATAACATATAGGTTTACCCTTGCGGAAAAAAAAAGCATAAATATATTCGCAGACACACTCCTATCAAGACGATGTCAGAGTTGAGTAAAACACTGACAAGTTCACTATTTATGAGTATATATATACAAACATATAGTCCAGAACTAAGTTCCAAACTCAAACATTTTTTCTATCATGAACTCCTGCCAGAGAAAAATGAGCATAAGAGAAATACTCTTACTTATCACATCAGCTAAGTGGGATCAGAGACACAATTCATGTTCCACAAGCCAAGCATATCATACACTATAAATCCATTCTACCAGCCCCGTTCCATATTATTTCTTTTCCCTACATCAATATGTCTTTTTCAGTATATCTCTCTACTTTTATGAAACCTAGACAACAAAATAATCGTGTCTTATGAGAAGTTCATGCCAGTTTTCTACATACATGACTAGATCATCAGAAAGTGCATAAAAAAATTTCCTTACTCTGGTCACTGAGTTGTATCACTTAAAATGTGACACGTTTTTCCTTCTCGTAAACCTATGACTTCTTGTTTCCATTGTCCCAACACTGTTAGACGAACTAGTCTATGTACACAGCATTCTTTTGACTTAGTTATCAGGCATAACTATCATTTCATGAGCAAACTAAATGAATATTGCTGAAAATGAAAAGGACGTCCTTATTAGGTATTTTCTGATGAAAGTGGAGGTTACTAGATGGAGAAACAAGGGAAAAAGATTTATCCAGATGCCTGCAATCAGTTTACAAAAATGAAAGAAATCTCCCTACGCATCACCAAGCAGCACAAGCCCAGAAGTGCAACTAAAAACAGAAGACTTAACTCTTGTATGGGATGCATGTTTCCACTTATTGAGTGGCTCCTCCACTCAAAAATGTCACTATTATGTCACTTCCAAAAGAGCTCGATTGTTGCATTCAGAATGAACCACTACACAACTTGATCTCCCTCTGTGTTCCACCTCCGCTTTCACCTTCTCCCTCCCACATTCAGATCTGTGGGAGTACCTCCACCATGTGGAGAAATACCTAAGGAATATAAAGTCTAAGTCTTCCTCTTAAGCTCCACAAAGGCAACACGAAGAATGAAGAAGCCAGATAAGCGATCACAGGTGAGGGTGCAGCGCAGCCATGTGATTTTCTCCACGTGAAACGTCCTAGTTTCGAGGGAAATGAGTCGTCCCCAACATATTGATCCAAACGATGCTTGCATCACCATCATTAATAAGGATAAATGCTGATAAACTGAAAATTAGCCACATCTTCCCCATTTCCAATTACCTGAATCTCATTCTGTCCCATGCATGGATTACCCAACAAGAATGGGCGGGAAATCTACTAAGAGGCCCATCCCTTCTTCATGAAGATTCCTCATAAATCCAGGGCACAGACATACTCCTGTTATACTAGGGTGGTCAAAGGTGCCAAGCTTTGAGAGGATCGACCGCTACACTGATTAACCTCAGGAAACCAACGGGGAAGGATGTTGTCCCAAACTGCATATATAAATTTAAGTCGTATTTTGTAGTACTTTGGACTGAGTAAGAATACGAAGTAAAGAGCAGTCAGAATGGATATTAAAAATAAGTTAACTATTTTCCACCAGGTTTCCCCCTAGCCCCATTCTAGCTTTTTTCATATGAATAGGGGAAGAACTCCCATTTTCATACCTCACCTTCAGTTTTGACTCATAAAGCCAAGCGCAATCGCGCCCAATTTTCGACATGTGAAAAAGATTCGGCACCGACGGGAATCCAAGATTGCGTTTTAGCATGCGAATTTATATTCAAAGCCCAACTGGTTTCATAAAAGTAACTCTAGAAATGAGATATTCGATGAAGTCGCTAAAGTATCTCAGGAAAGGTGGTAAACCCGGGTCATGAAAAGGAATCATTCCATACGGATTCGGCAACAAAGAGGAAACAAGAACGCAGATCCTCGAGGATGCGGAAATTCTCAGGGAAACGACCCCGGAACGCCGCTTCCTATCCCCATTACCAAAGATGGACACTTCGCCACCAATCCAGGAAAAGAGGGAAAACCAATTCAAAACGAAGCCACCGTGGGAGAGTCTAACCAGTGATGAGCACATGGGAGGCGCAGTGCTTGCAGTGGTAGACGAAGAGCTCCGACTCGGGGCCGTCGGGCGCTGCGTCCTCGCTCGAGTACGTGTGAGTCGTCCTCTTCGGCATCTCCTCCTTTCTCCTCCCCCCTTGCTCTCCCAGAACTGGAACTGTATAGTAAGTAGTACGAAACCGAGGAAGAAGCCAGACAGCGGTAGGGGCTTTTTGGTAGTTTATCGTCCTCCCGTCTCTCTTTCGCGGGCGAAGCTTCGAGCCCACCACTCTTTAGGCCCGTCTATCACTGGGCCGGCCCAGATGTTTTTTTCGGCTCCATTGACCACTTTTGCTTTCCTATCTCTCCACAAAAGCAATTGCTCTCAAGTGGAACATTATAGGGCCCAATAGGCCGGGGGTGAATTTGTCTTTTCCATTTGCCTCAAAACAGTATAACTTCGTTCAAAGTCGATTAATTTTTTTTAAAAATAATTTGGCTTATAAATTTATGTTATATTTTTTTAAGAGCACTCTCTTAGATGCCACCAAATTTAAATTAACTCCCTTACTTAATTTCATATTTTTAGATAAACCCCATATGTTCATACCATATATTTTACATGGCATACTTGTAAAATGGTAAAATAAAATAAATATAATTCTTTTTTATGAGGCACTTTCTTCAGTTGGAGAATGTGAGCATTACTTGCCAAAAGTATTGATATTTTATCCCTAGATTTATCAGCTAATTACTTGACGTGTATTTTTTTTGTGATCTTATTTTCTTCCTGAAGTATTAGAAAACTAATAACATGAGCGTAAGGCTGGTTCTTTTAGCCTAAAATTTGAAAAGAAATTGAAAATTTTCACAATTTCAAATGCTATTTTAAATAATTCAAAAAATAAAATCCACAACAACATCCATTTCAATAAATTAGCTCTTTTTATGAAAAATATAAAAAAAATCATTTAATATCTGAGTTTTTGTGGGATTTTTTAGAGGTTTTTTTTCTAAAAAATATTTTTGTAAAAATGTTATTAAAATATTGATATAAATATGCCAACTTTCTACTCTGATTTTAAGTGTATTTTTTCATATATATAATAATTAAATAATGTTTAATACACATTTTAAACAGCAATTGTCATCTGTTTTGAGATAAACAGTCTAAATATCTCTCTCGTCCTTACCTTAACTTTCTCAAATTTACATTTTTGTCCACTTATCGTGGTAAATTCTGAACACAAACAAGAGTTATAACATTGGGTAAGAGATCTTAAAAAATCTAGTCAATGCTGGGGTTTTGTCTAATTCAGCATATTTCTGGGGGATTCAATAAAATATTGTTCTTTACCATGAGCGCCACAATTTCTAGGAATATTACTCATTAAAAATATATTAATGGATATTTTAACGTCTAATTTAGATAGTGGCACCATAAGAACTATAAATTAGGAGAAACGCCTCTCCATTTCATTAAATTCGGAAATAACATCATACAAGTTAGACCTTAGTGGCTATAACTCCGATAAAGTTTAAGAAATAGTCTCTTGGATAAACCACTATGTAGGACAAAGGGTAGGGAGAGAAAGAGAGATTGAGAGAGAGAGAGAGAGAGAGAGAGAGAGAGAGAGAGAGAGAGAGAGAGAGAGAGAGAGAGAGAGAGAGAGAGAGAGAGAGAGAGAGAGAGAGAGAGA